GATTCCAAAAACTCTATGCATGTATTTTATTGTCACATTCTTGTGAAAAAATCCCAATTAGCCTTCAAAGGTAGATATTTACATCTAATTTTGCAGCTTCTTAATGCCAAACCCTAACCCTAACCCTAACCCTAACCCTAACCCTAACCCTAACCCAAATCCTCCTATATATTAATCTATAATAAATATTTTACTTATATTTAAAATATTCATATGTCTGAGCACCTCAGCCCTTCCTTCCACCTGGGAACCAACCCCTGGCTCATCCCAAACCAACATCCTCAGGATTCTTCTCCATAGGGAAAACACCCCTCCAAGTCCTCATATCCACAACCCACGAACAAAACCCTTCCACTGTTCCCTGGTGTCCCAGATCCTGATGTCAATCTATTTTTGATGGACACAAAATGATAATTCCCCCCCCCCCCAATTTTTTAAAATTTTGATTTTTTTTGGCAAGATTGTCCATGCAGAAATGTATTTATTCTAACTTCATATTTTTGTTCTTTCTTCCAAATTTATTTCCCCACCTTCTGTGGAAATGAATTTTCAGGACTTGGAGGGAAAACAAATGAGGTCTTGTGCCTATAACCCCACAAATGTGATGGTTTTATCCACTGGGACATGAATTTTTCAGATGGGCAATGTGGGAATTCACAGATTTGGAGCCTCGATGGAAAATTACTGCCAGGCAAACAAAGAAATCTGGGATTTGGGAATAAACAGGCGGGCCAGGAAGCTGGGAGGAAACCTTGGGCAGGGGAAGGGAAGAGAGAGAAAAGCTCCCACCGCAGGAGGCGGCGAAAATAACCCTGGGGGGGCCAGTGCGTGGGAAAGGGGCTCCGGTCCTCGGCCGAGGGACCCCAAATTTGGGATTCCACAGGGCGGGGGCAAAACTCAGCTCCAGACCAGGGGGGTCAGCCCGGATCCCCCAGCCCCACGTTTGGGGGAGGGTTGGGAATTCTGGGAGCAAAGGGAATAAATCTTTCCCTGGGTTTATTTGGCCTCATGGCTCTTTGTGAAGAGCAGGTGTGAAGGGCAGGGAGCGTGCAAGGGAACGGGGGTGTGCAGGAGGGAATAGGGAGTGTGCAAGAGAATGAGGAGTATGTAAGGGAGGGAGTGTGTAAGGGAATGGGGAACGTGCAAGGGGAGAACGTGCGAAGGAAACAAATGAGCAAGGGAAGTGAGTGTGCGCAGGGAGCAAGTGTGGAAGGGAGTGTGCAAGGAGAACAATCCTAGCAGCACACCAAGCTGCTGAAGGTCTGAGTGTGCAAGGGGAGTGCACAGGCAAATGGAGTGAGAGTGGAAGGGGAACAAGTGTGCAAGGGGAGTGAGCACAGAGGGAGAGTGAGTGGAAAAAGGGACCGAGCGTGCAAGGGCATGCTGGAACAAACACATGGAAACGGGTGTGCAAAGGGACAAGTGTGCAGAGGGAACCAGTGCTACAGGAGAGCAAACTTCCAAAAGGAACAAGCATAGAGAGGGAGCACGTGTGTGCGGTGTGCATGGGGAGCAGGTGTGCAAAGGGAGGGAATGTGGACAGGGGAACAAGGGAACAAGTGTGCAAGGGGGAACAAGTGCAGAGTGAGGTGAGCAGGAAGCGAGTGTGTGAAGAGTGAGTGTATAAAAGGGTGAGTGTGAACAGGGAGTGAGTGTGTGCACAGGGAATGTGCAAAAGGAGTGTGAAAGCACCCCCGTGCGAGGGGCTGTGGGGCAGCCAGGCTGAGCAATGCCAGCCCCCATGCCCCACTCTCACTGGAGCCTCCAGCATTCCCATTTTCCTCTGGTTGTCCCAGTCTTGTAGAAAGGAAACTTCAAAATGCATGCATCAAAAAAAGGGCCTCGAGCCGGATGAGCTCCCAACACCCACACCTGGCATTGGCACACACAGCTTGAGGGCTGGGAATGTTTGGGAGGTTTTTGGGAGCAAATTCCCTAAATCTGGCTCTTGAAAGAGCAGGTGGGATGTGAGGAGGTTGAAGGGTGCAGGAGCTGGGAGACGCCTCAGCCGAGTGGTTGCTGCCAGGGAGTGTGACCCTGGGAAAATGGCTTGGACATGATGCTGCTCCCCAACACTGAAGGATTTTTTTCTACCATCCAGTTCTGGAGCACCCCAAAAAATGGGCAAAGAGGGGATAAGGAGGCACAGCAGAGGCAGCTCCCAGGCAAGACAGTGCCCATCGCCTGTGTCAGGCCGGCACACGCCCACCTCGCCCTTGAGCAACGGCTTGGAATGAGGAAGGAATTGCTCCTACTCCTGCTCCTGCTGCTCCTGCTGCTCCTGCTGCTGCTCCCACATCCTGGAAGCTCAGCTGGACCCTGGCTGGGGCCTCACCCCAAAATCCAACCCGACCCCACAGTGACCTGCCCTTGGGTGTCCCCAGTGCAGGACCCCTCGGTGGCACCCTGCTCAAATGGTGCTGCAGGACATCTCTTCGTTGTCACCCCATGGAATGTCCTTCATTCCCCACACACGTCCCTCACCCCACTGAGGTCCTTTACCCTGCAGATGTCCTTCATTCCCTGAACTTCTTTCGCTCCACAGGTGTTCTTTACCCTGTGGATATCTTTGACGCCATGGATGTCCTTCACTCTACAGATGTCCTTGATCCCACAGATATCCTTCACCCCATGGATGTTCTTCATCCCGTGAATGTTCTTCACCCCAGGGACGTGTGTCTCTTCATTCCATGTGTGTCCTTCACCCCCCATGGGTGTTCTTCACCCTGCAATTTCCTTTATTCCCCATGGTGCCCCCTCCCCTGCCCCCCCCTCCCCAAAATCCCCCCTGGGAAACGGTGCCTATCCATGTCATGATCTTTCCTGGACTCAGCCTCCACCTGGATCCAGAGCAACACTTCCTAAACCAGCCTCGACTCCTGCAACAGGCAGCAACAAGCCTTGACCTGACCCCACCTCCAAAATTTTGGGGCTCTGGTGGCCAAGCAGGGCAGGTCCCAGCAGCTCTGGGCTGGAGCAGTTTTGGGAGAGTGTTGTCAGGATTTGACCTTGGGTTTGGGAAGGGAGAGCTTTTTGACTGACCCACATTTTTGGGAGGTCCATGGGAAACGGGGGTGAAGCCCTACAATGCTGATCCCCCTCAATGAGCCAGGAAATGTGGAAAAGAGGAGAAAACGCTTCTGAAACTACAGACTGGGGAACGCAGAGTGAAATTCAAAAGCCACAGGAATTTCAGAGACTGAAAGTGCGGATGGGATCAAAATGGCTGTGTGGGAATGGGCAAGCCCTGACAAGATCCAGGGTGACCTCGCTTTGACATTCCCAAAAATTTGGATCCATCCCACTGTCATTGCTCATCATCCCAGTGTGTGTTGCTGAACCCCCTCATTCCCAAAATTGTGGCTTGAAGCACCCAAGGAAGCCCGATAGGGGATGTTTTCAGACTTTATGGGATGTTCTAATCATCCCACAATTCCACTGGAATGGTTGAAGCTGGGCCGGTTCCTCAGCATGCCGGGACATGCTGGGAAGCACTTTTCCAGCATTTTCCTATCTCCTTCTTATGCAAAGAATTTGGTACTAAAAATCAGTGCTAGGGGCTTTGCCGCAGCTCCACCCCACCCTTCCCGCAGGATGTGGCAGAGCTGCTACCCGTGGGGGCTGGATTTTTGGGATTGCATGGGAATCACACAGGAATAACGTGGGATTTCATGGGATGATTGCATGCAATTTCATCATCTTGCATGGGATTGCATGGATTACATGGGAATTGTATGGGATAATTGCATGGGATGGTTACGGGTTATTTAATGGTATGCCTTGTGGTGATTGTATGGGAATTGCAAGGGTTGGTTGCATGCTATTTAATGGAATTCCATGGGAGGATTGCATGGGATTCCATGGAATTCCACGGGGTGATTGAATGGGATTCCTTGGGATGACTGAATGGCATTATTGATGGGATTGCATGGCATTTAATCAGGTGAATCCTTAGGACTGCATAGGATTGCACTAGATTCCGCTGGGATTGCCTGGAATTCTATGGGATTGCAGAGGATTGCGTGGGAAGTGAAGCTTGGGAAAATATCAGGAGATGCTTACATGGGTGCGTGGTGGATTGGATGATGTGGGATCAGGGTACAGGGGGATATCTGGGACTGAGCCAGGCATTGGTGCTCACTCTTGGCACATCCTCAGGGCTTTTACTTGCCTCCATCCCATTTACATCCCCAGGAATGGGAAAATCCATCTGGAGAGAGACTGGAGCAAATTTGGCCATCAGTGAATTCCAGACCCATTTCAGCCTCAAATTTGGGTTTAAGATCCTTAAACCAGCAGAACACCTGGATATGACACAAAAAGTCTCTTGGCAGCTCCTTGGCCAAATCCAGCTGGGAAAACCCCCAAATACGGGAATTTCATGGCAAACAGCATTGACCCCTCCTTTTCCACAGCCAGGCCCTTCCCATCATCCCCCATTTCTGGGGGGTCTAAACCCCCCACTCTGTTGTCTCCACTTGTGTCTAATGAGTGGAGCCTTTCCCTTTTCCTAATTAAATCCTGCTCATTAACTCACAGGATTTAATTGCTCCTGACGAGGGGCAGCAGGGGCCACATTTCCAATTTCCTTGCCTTAATTCTTTTAATTGGGAGAAGCAGGGGGATGGTGACCCAGCACCACCAGAAAATCCACCCAGGTCAGAGTTTTTGGGAATATTTTCCATTGCTTTCATCTAATGGCTTTGTATCACCCCAAAAATAGAGAGAATATCCCCAAATCCACAAGGAAAGGGTTCAAAGAGCTGTGTTGTTACTCCCATCAATGCTGACAACAACAGCGACAGCAACAACAATAATTAGAATAATAATATTGATCTAACCTTTTATTCCAGATTATTTATAAGATGTTTTTGGGGAGGTTTGGAGATTTTTTTTGGAAGCAAGCTGTCAGCATGGCTTTTCTTCTTCTCCCACTTGGAAAGGAGTTTGTAATCTGCCTCGTGGGTTTTTTGGGAGCTGCTGAATCGTGAGTTTCGGGAATGGGGTTATGGAGAGGGCGGGTGAGGCTGTGGAAGGTGGAGGGATATTGGGAGAACCTCACAAAAATCAGGGTGCATTGTCTTGTGTGGGTTCTATTCCCAAAAAATCCAATTACATCATCCTGGAATGCTGATGAAACCCCCTCCCACCAAATTGTGTTGTCCTGGGAGGGTGATGATCCCCAAAATATCCAATTGCATCATCCTGGGAGGATAATAATCCCCCCAAAAGTGAATTACATTGTCCTGGGAATCCACTAGGATTTCCACCCCAAAAGTCAATTTTCACCATTGTGGGAGAGTGATAATCCCCCTTGAAATCCCATTGCATTGTCCTGGCTGGGCTATATCCCCGCAAAAATAAAAATTCATCCCCCTGGGAGGTTGATGCACCCTTCCCCCCAACCCCCCACCGCTAAAATCAATTTGCATATTTGCATAATCCTGGAATGATGATAATCCCTCAGAATTCGAATTCCAGTATCCTGGAACCCAAAATGGAATTGCATTATCTTGGAAGGATAATGACACCCCCCCAAATCAAATTTTATAAGCCTGGCTGGGTGTTAGCACTCCAAAATTTCAAAGTTGTCCTGGGAGGATTGACCCACTCAGAATTCAAATTGCCTGGTGCAGGGAGAGTAATACTCCCCAAAAAATTCATATTGCCCACCCAAATTTAAATTACATCACATTATGAGGGCAATATTCCTCAAAAAACTCAAGTTCTGTCATTCTGGGAGAATGGGAGGCTCTACAAAAATCAAATCTAATTATCCTGGGAGAGCAATATCCCCCAGAAATCGAATTGTGTCATCCTGAGAGAACAATGATCCCAAAAACATTGTATTTCATTTTCCTGACATTATGATATCCCCCAAACAAAACTGCGCCATCCTGGAAGGAGAATGATCCCAGAAAGTCGAGCTACATCTTCCTGGTAGGACGGAGCCCCTGGCCCTGCCGAGCTGCTCCCTGCTCGGGAAAATGGGGATGGCAGGGATTTTTAGCTTCTGGATTTGCTGAGCCGCGTTCGCTGTCTCTGACATGTCCCTGCAGTCAAGGGCTGATGACACACAAATACCTGACTCATTATTATTCAGGCAGTTAATTAGGTAATGGGGATTAATCCTCCTTCCTGCGGGGCGGGAATTGCCCATGGAGCCTGCTCCGACCCATTCCCAGTGCTCAGAACTGGGCACTTCTCAGTCCAGCAAGGGAGGGAAGGCAAAGCCCATCTTGTCTGGAGCCCCAGGGATTTTTAATGGAAGAAATTAGGATTTTGGGGCTTTTCTTTTGCTTCCTAGTGTTATCCAGCTTGGGATGCCAAAGCCACCTGCACTCACATGTTTTTGGTGGGCCCAGGGGGTGAAATGTACTTTGTGAAGGAAGAGGAAAATCGTTATTAAATTAATTAATTTAAATGGAGCACCCCAAAAGTTGGGATCTCCTTCTCCATCTGCAGTGCGATGTGTGGAACACCTTACCCTGTACCCCGGCAGCACCTGGCTCACAGCCCGACAACCTTCCCATCCTCAAACCCAACATTTATGCACCCTCTGCCTCCAGATCCCCTAAAATTCATCCCCAAATCCACCTCCAGCTCCTCAGGAATGCCAGGTATGCCGAGGGGTGGAAGGAGGATGCCTCCATACCAGCAGCTCCAGGGTTTCCAGGATGCCTTACATTTGGCAAATTGGGCTATTTTGAGTGGAAAAACCCAGGATTTAAGGGTTTTCCGAGCCTGGCAGAGAATATGGGATAGGAAGATCAAAATCTGCCTGTAAAGAAATTCATCACTCGGAGACAACACTGGATTTCTCTGTGGGATCCTGTGACTGGCTGCTGTAAAATTCCCCCAAACCTGGAAAATTCCTAAATCTGAGCAGGTGTGGGTGAATTCCCACCGGGATGGTGATGCCGGAGTGGGGAAGATGCTCCTTTGGGGTACTGAGGGTTCTGGCACAGTCTCCCCGTCCTTGCAGGATTCCCAAGGCCCCGAGCGGGCTAGGACCTTGAGAATGTGACGGGAGCGGCAGAAAAGGGAAAACCGGCTTTATTCTGCCCCTTTTCTCGCTAATTCAATTTTTTTTTCTCCCTGTGTTCCACCTTTTTTTCTATCGCTTTCAACCTATTTTCACTGCCTTCCACCCATTTTCTTCCTATTACATCTATTTTCCTCCTTATTCCACCTTTATTCTCTCTGATCCCAACCTTTTTTCTCAGTCCCACCCTTCTTTTTATTCTCTATTCCACCCGGTTTTTGTCTCTAATCCTCCCATTTTTGTTCCTATTCCACCTTTTTTTTTTTTCTTCACTCTGCTCCACCCATTTTCTCCCCTTTCCACTTTTTTTCTCCCTATTCCACTTTGTTCCCGATATTCGACTTATTTTCTTCATTCCTCTCTTATCTTCCTTCCAGTCCACTTTTTTTAAAAGTAGTGTTCCACCTCTTTTCTCTGTTCCACCTTTTTGTCCCTGTACCATGTTCTATTCTCACTATTCTACTTTATTTCTCCCTATTCTTCTGGCTTTTCTCCCTATTCCACCAATTTTCTCCCTATTCCACCCTTTTTCTTTGTAATCCATCTATTTTTTTTCTCCCTATTCCACCTTTTTTCTCCCCGTTCCACCCTTTTCTTCCCCAAGTAGAGAAAATCCCAGTGACTGGACTCCAGAAACTCAGCAACTCTCCCCCCAAAAATTCCCCCATGGTATCCTCTACATCACAACAACGGGATGAAATAAAATCAAATAATTTTTCCAAAAATTAAAAAATGAGCACATCCCTGTAAATGAAGCCATGGGAGTGGCCATTATCCGCTTATTATCATTAATGATTAATTATTGTCTTTAACAGCCTTTGACTTAAGAAATAGCTCCCCAAGGGGAAAATCTTGGGCAAATGGGAATTAATCCATCATAATATCATGGAAGAGGGGGGAAAATCACCTTTTTCTGCTGTTTTGGCTGTTTTGGGGATTCTTTGGGAAATCCAAGGCAGTTTTATGGAATGGGAAAAGCAGGATTAAATACATATAAGTGTGTGTGTGTATATATATATATATATATGTATAACCATATATCCCCCTTTTTCTTTCTTCTTGGAGAAGGACTAGGAATCCTCATGCATGAATGTGTGAATCCAAAGAGAAATTTTTTTCCTCTCCTATTCCCATGGGTTTCAGCTCTGGCTCCATCAGCAGCACAACACTCCTAGTGCTGGCCGTGACTCACCCAGTTATTTTTAGCCCCGACCTCTTTTCATCCATGTTTCTTATCCACGTCATGATGCCCTAAAAATGCAAAATAAAGGATGAAATGGAAGACCCACCTTTGGAAGAGCCAGAACTGGGGGGGGGTAATTTTCCCCTTTTCATCCCTTTTCTGGATAAACCAGAATTTCCCTTTGTTTTTCCATCTTTTCTGTGTTTATTGAGTGAAAAGCCAACAAAACCAGGTCAGTTTAGGACAAGGAAGTCACTGCCTGGGCTGGAAAACTTTTTATTTATTAATTGGAATACATTAAATTATAATAATTGATTTTATTTGGATCAGTGTTCCTGCTTTTTCAGACATGGAACTTTTCTCCATTCCACTCTAACCCAAGGACTGGAGGGTTTAACGCACTCTAATCACAGTTTTACTAATCCTGGGGTTTAATTCATCCAAATTTAAGGATAAAAATTGAAATCCAAGGAGCTTCAGCTGTTGAGTCCAAATATGAAGGATATTCAAGAGTTCTGTCACATCCCTAGAGCTGGACCAGGAGGTTCCAGGAGCATCCCCCAGATAAGGAGCCAGAAATCGTTATGGGAGCAACTCAAAATCCCAAAGGAAAGTCAAGTTAGGGCATTTTAAAAAAGACTGAAATCCCTGTGGAAGTTTTGTCGATGTTGCCCAACCCAATTTATGACAAATCCTGTTTCTGGGTGGACTTTATCCCCAGTTTCATCACCTGGGCTGAAGCTTTCCAGGTGACCCGACCCCGGCTCAATCCAGCCCTTCAAAGAGCTTGATGCCAGGAAAAACACCCAATTCATGGAATGCTGGCGGGATCACCGTGGTGTAGTGTCAGGCAGATGGCCCAGCTGTTGGGGGCTGGGCTTGTTGTACTGAAATTACACCCTCCTGCGTATTTGTTCTGTCTTTTTTATTTTTATTTATTTATTTTTTTTAATTTGGAGGGATTGGGATGGTGGAGGTCTGGAAATCCCATTTTTGGGGATTTTCGTCTGGACTTTAAAAAATAAACCCCAACTTTTTGGCTCGGGGAAATATTTTAAAGCTCCTCAAGGCTCAAATATGTTCAAGGACACTGGGAATATTGAAATAAATTCCCCCCTGGAGTGGATTAACTCCATCCTAAGGATGTTCAGTGTTGGGGGATGAATTATTTGGTTTGCCTGTATTTTAAGGGATAATCCAGGACTTTTGGCTTATGGGATCAAGCCCCAGCAAAACCAACTTCTCTCCCATGATCCATCCTGTGATGATAGTTTTATTTCCCCAAAAAACATCCTTGGAAAGGTGATTCCATGCTGGGCTTTGCCTGAAAAAATGGGAGCTGTGTCCAAATCCGCTCCCCAAATCCAGTGTGTCACCAGGACTTGCTTGTCCCTGGTGTTGCTGAGGGTGGCACTGGGTCGGGGTGGGAGAGGCTGTGAGATAACGAGCTCGTCATGAGTGATGGCGTGTGAAGAAGGGATCGTGGGGATTGGGAACCCAGATTTCCTCGTCTGCTGGGAATGAGTTTATGGGAGACAACCCCGCGGTGGGTGTGGGGGACTGTGCTGGGGGCATCAAAGCCAAAATCTGTGGTGGGGAAGAGGGTGAGGATGGAGAGCCGAGTTCATCCCTCTCTCCCTGCTCTCCACACAACCCCGATCCCTGGAAAAGCTCATCCCATCCCTATGATCCCTTGTCCTCAACAGAACCTCAATCCCTGGGAAAGGCTGATCTCATCCCTTTGTCCCTGTCCTCCAGCCACACTGGACTCCCTGAGCCCATCCCTCTGGCCTCAGGTCTCCACCAGAACTCCAGGCCCGTGGAGAAGCCGATCTCACCCCCGTGACCTGTCCTGGACACAGATGGAGCCCCTGAGCCCACCCTGTGCCCTTGATCCCCAGCAAAACCCAAATCCATGGAATGGCTGAGCCCACCCTGGTGGCCTCGGGCCTACCCCGCCCTCCCCTCGGTGTTATTTTAACCCTTTTCCCTGGAGCAAATCCCCATAAATCCTCTCCAGCCCCTCGGCCCCGCCGGGATTATCCCGCTCCGGACGTTTCCCTCCATCAGCATTCCCACGGCGCCGGGGAGGGGTCCCACCAGGAATGCCGAGTCGGCAAAATCCCCACCCGGACCCCTTGGGCTGGGAAAAGAGGGGAAAAAGGGGCTGGGATGGACCCAATGGCTTTTTATAGGAATTCACAGGTGAGGGAGGATTGTTGGGAATGGCCAATTCTGGGGCAAAATCCGGCACCTTTAGGAAAGAAAATTAATATTTATATTAGTTTTTCTGGTTTATTAGTGTGATTTCCAGTTTTGCTTTTCTGGTGCTTTTGGGATTTGCTCTTTTGGTGTCTTTTCTTCACATTTCCCCCCCCTTCTTACGCTTTAAATTTTATGCATTTTGGCACACAATATTTGCTCCTTTTCCTTTGTTTTTGGTGTGTGTGGAGATTTTTTAAAGTTTTTATTGTGCAATATTTGCATTATTCCTTTTTTTTCCCAGGCTTTGAATTTTTTTTATAAATTTCTATGCTTTATTTTTCCTTCCCTATTTATTTTTTTTTTTTTAGTTGTTCCCCTTTTTCTTCAATTCTTGTGCAACTTTTAGTTAACTTTTTTCATTTTTTGACATTTCCCCTCTCTTTTTACCTTTTTGTGGTGCAGTTATTGTACAATAATTTCTTGTGCTTTTGCAGTATTTTTTCAATGTTTGTGCACTTTGTGTGCATTTTTTCATTTTGGTGACATTTTTTCATTTTTTTGGTTACTATTCCCAACACTTTTTTTTCCCCCCCTTTTACAGGAACAACAAGGGGAATTGCATTTTCCATCTTTAGGATTTTAGTGGCTTTTAAGAATTTTTTAATATGAATTTGGGGGAAACGGGGAGTTTTGGGGTGGGGGTGGCATAGTCAGGCACTTGTAGGTGTGCACTCATTTGTGCACACCTGTACAGCCATGCACCCCTTACACACTCGTGTGCACAGACACAGCCCTGCACACTCACACACATGTACAGGAGCACACAGCCCTGCACACTCACACGTACACACACAAACACGTGCACACACCTGCCACTCACATGCTCACACCTGTGCACTCACAGTCACACACATGAACATTGACACAGTTCACACAGAGATCTGTGCACACACACTCACCCCCTGCACTTACACACTCACCCCCTGCACTTACACACACAAACCCTGCACTTACACACACAAACCCTGCACTTACACACACACACACACTCACACTCTCACAGTCACAGTCACACACACACACTCTCACACACACTCTCTCACACACTCTCACACGTGCACACGGTGACACACACTCTCACACACACACTCTCTCTCACACTCACACTCTCACACTCTCTCACACACACACTCTCACTCACAGACACACACTCACACACACACACTCACACACACACTCACACACTCTCACACACACACACTCACTCACACACACACACTCTCACACTCACACAGACACACACACAGTCACAGACACACACACACTCACACAGACACACACACAGTCACAGACACACACACACACACACACACTCACACTCACTCTCACTCACACAGACACACACACAGTCACACACTCACACTCACACTCACACAGACACACACACACACACACTCACACAGACACACACACAGTCACAGACACACTCACACTCACACTCACACTCACACAGACACACACACACACTCACACAGACACACACACAGTCACAGTCACAGACACACTCACACTCACACAGACACAGACACACACACACACACACACTCACACAGACACACACACAGTCACAGTCACAGACACACTCACACTCACACAGACACACAGACACACAGACACACACACACACACACACACACACTCACTCACTCTCACACGGACCCTCCCGTCCCCTCCCCATCGCTGCTGGGGTCCCCCCGGGGCACCCCGGCCGCTCCACTGGGGGGGCAGCGGGCATCCCAGCCCTGCCCAGGGAATGAGGGACCCCTGGGGCACCCCGGGGACCCCTCTGCCCCTCCCCAGTGCCACCCGTTCCCCTCTGACTCGTCACCGTCCCCCTCCCGCCCAGGGTGTCCCCGGAGACGCCGGAGCCCCCGGTCCCGCCGGTGCCAGGGTAAGCTGAACCCCCGTGTGCCCCCTCGACTCTGGGCACCCCAAAGTGCCCCCCACGGCCCTGACGGGGCCTGTCCTGCCTCCCCTCCCCAGGGTGAGAGAGGATTCCCTGGAGAACGCGGTGTCCAAGGTCCCCCCGGTCCCCAAGGTCCTCGTGGTGCTAACGGTGCTCCCGGTAACGATGGTGCTAAGGTGGGTGCCAGGCGGGAGTGGCGGGGGACTGTCCCCAGCCTGCGGGGCACGGCTGAGGCTTTGGCCCCCGCGGCTGAAGCCGGGATGGGTTTGCGGTGCCGGGATCTCACTAATCCCCGTTTTCCCTCTTTGCCAGGGCGATGCTGGTGCTCCCGGAGCCCCCGGGAACCAAGGGCCCCCCGGTCTGCAGGGTATGCCCGGAGAGCGTGGTGCTGCCGGCCTGCCAGGCGCCAAGGGTGACAGAGTAGGTGTCCCCAGATCCCCGGTGTCCCCAGATCCCCGGGGTCCCCAAATCCCCGGTGTCCCCAAATCCCCGGGGTCCCCAGATCCCCGGTGTCCCCAAATCCCCGGGGTCCTCCTCGGTAAGCTGCTCCGTCCCTGTGCCCCCCTCACCATCCCCTCGGGGCTGGATGTGCCCCCGAGCCGGGGCTGGTGGGCAGCAGCGTCCTGGGGAGGGGATGCTCTGTGGCACCTCTGTCCCCATCCCTCGGGGACAATCCCGAGCTGAGAGACCAGCTCTTGGGAGGAGGAGGAGGAGGAGGATGGTCCCAGCCTGTCTCAGGGAGGATGAAGAACCGGGGATGTCTCAGTGCAGAGAGGGGTGAACCCCCGCAAGGGACCTGTCCCCGTAACCCACCCTTGTGTCCCCCCCCGCAGGGTGACCCCGGTCCCAAAGGTGCTGATGGCGCTCCTGGCAAGGACGGTCTCCGAGGCCTGACCGGTCCCATCGGCCCCCCCGGCCCCGCTGGTGCTCCTGGTGACAAGGTGGGGACATCCCGCAGGGACAGATGTGTCCAGGCAGTCACCGCCACCTCCGAGCCACAGCCCTGATCCCTTTT